CTGCAAGGAGTCAGGTTGCCCGTGTAGGTTCTGGGCATTATGCACGCACGCATGCGCCCACAGTGGTCGCGGGACGTGCGCATAGCCCACGTCCCCTCTACCAACGTCCTGTCGTGCGTAGGCAGGTCGTCCGTAGGCTAACCTTTAGCATGCCGGTCGGGGCACTGCCACCTCAAGTAGTGTGCCGCCTCTGCATTGGGCGTCAAACCACCACCGGTGGAGGAGGCCCTCCTCCCTCATTTTTCATGTTGAACATCTTTTTCTCATTTCTCTTTACTAGATTTCGCCACTTGGTGTGAATCCGATGATTTCAAAACTCCATAAATTGCCTTCCCCCTTCCCTTCCTCTACACACTTCTATTTTTTTATTTTTTAAAGGTTTAGAGAGAGAGAGAGATAGTGGTATAATGAGAGAATAAGAGAAAGAAAGGAGAATAGTGAAGGAGAAAACATTAAGGTTTTTGGCAAGAAATCTAGTATTTCTTTCGATGTCTTAAGTGAGTATTTTTAGATAAACTAAATTAATATGATTGCTATTTTGCTTATTTTGTATGCCTTTGTGTTCAAATAAATCGAATTGTTCTTATTTTCAAGCATGTTATGTGAATTACAGACACTTGATAAATTTGTATATAATGAAGATAATATGTAATTGGTAACAATAAAAAGTATAAAAGAAAAAAAAAGAGAAAAGTGGAATGAAGCCTGAATGGTCCAAAGTGTATCTGTATTGACATGCATATTGCATCAAGTGTCTTGTTAAGTTTTTATCTCTCAGAGGTATCTGGTCCCCTTACCCTTTGGGGTATCTATTTCCTCTACCCCTATCTGGTCTAAAAAGATGTAAGAGAACCGCTGCTAATGAATGATGGTGTATCTTCTGACGAGAGTGGTATCACATTATCTGTAGGGTCACCCGTGGCTAAGTAATATCGTGACTGTAGATATCTGTTAGAACCACTATGGCTGGTACAACCGTGGTCATAGATTGTACCAGGGTTTGACTAATCGAAAATGGGTTTGAGCAAATTACCATATCTGTATCTAATCTGGTCATTCCACTTGGGTAGTTGAAAATTTGTATATGCCCTTAGAAATGGAAGTTGTAACAACTTCATGAAGTATGACATAAAAATATGAGCATTTCATGATTTAATTGATGGTCTCTATTATTTGGCATAATATATGTTTGATTGTCTGTATTAATGTATCATTTTCTTAACAAATAAATGATTTCTATAATGTGAGATAGATAAACGAGGAAGTTAAATGGTAAAATTAAATAATTAACTTTTGAAATCTTACGATATTAATTTAATATATTTTTTTACTGAGCATATAAAACTCACTATTTTCATGTCCCTCCCCCCCTCCCCTCTAATGAGGAAGAAAGTGAGGAACCGCAGGCTGACCTACTCTTGAAAGTCTATGAGGATTCGTGGATCTACAAGTCTGAGTGCATCACTGTTCCCGCACTTTGATGAGTCCAATAACATAGTGAAAGAAGTGACCCTTATATTTTATTTTGTATTTTGCAGCCACTTCTGATCTCAGTATATGTATGTATTGGAACTCATATGTATTTGTAATGGATTTGTAATAATTTTGTTCCGCTGCATAAATTTTGTCATGTACTCGTTATTCTAAATTTGTATTTGACACTTATTTGTCTTAATTAGCACTTTGGATGTCACACAACTCATTCATAAACAAGCACATACCAAACTTGGAGTGGGTTTATAATTTTTTTTAAATTCTTTTGGATCACATTAAGCTTGCATATTATTTGATTTCTATCAGACTCATGCATTGCATTGTATTAATACAAAAATAATAAATATTTATATTTGTATATTTACATATATTTAAATATATATATATAGATATTTTATATATTTATTAATATAATTATATTTATAAATATTTATATTATTCTATATATCTGTCGAGTTCGAGCAAGTTTGACAAACTAGTCTGAACTCATCTTGTTCCACCACTATTTTTGTACCAACCTTTATATCATAAGACTTAAACTTGCCATTTTAACAAAAAAAAAAAAATACATCAGATCAGATTTAATCAATCTATTTAGATAAATTTGGGTCAAATATTTCATCTCTATATTATGAACAAAGTTTTACACTAGTAAAACTTTGAAAATGTATTTATGCTTAATATATATATATTTTTAATTTAGTGTAAGTAAAAAAAAAAAAACAACGCAACTGGAATATATCCTTAAATTTAATTAGAATTATTGTCCGTTGATTAGATCTTGTATCTTTTAGTTGTCCAATTCATATAAACAAAAAAAAGATAAAATTATTATTTCATTCTTTCAATTATTGGATATTTTGTAGTTATGTATAAAAGACAATTGGATTCTTAAACTTATAACTTTATTTCAATTCATGACATTTTTAAATCATTTTAAAAATTTTGATAAAAAATAATAATTTCTTTTTGTTTGATCCATATTTTACTTTTAGTAAAATTTGAAAGTTACATTAACTAAATAATAACATATAATTAATGGCTTTTATTTCATTTAACTAATACAAGTGATAGTAACATATAATTAATGAAGAAGATGTAAGCATTAGCTATTTTTCAATTTTTTTTCATTATTAACTCTAAATATTAAACACTATATTTTTTAGAAAGATTTTTTTATACTACTCAATAATATTTATTATTTTTATAAAAATTAAAATTAAATTATAAAAGAAAAATATTAAAAAAGTACTTGGGAATTTGGAATCTAGGATCGGAAGGTTTGGCCGTTACAATTACGCAAAGTGGAGAATATAGAATGTCCATTTTACCCCTACCGACCGAAACGCCTGTGTTGTGGCGGGGGTAGACAACAGAGTCGCCGTGAATCGAAATTCAAACACGGGCTCTATTTAAAGGAGCATGTTTCGCAACCTTGTCTAACTATCTGAGATCCTGTTTCCCTCCATTTCTCTCTAATCTGTCTTCCCTTTTGCGATCTTCACAGACTCGCTAGGTAATTCTCTTTACGCTTTTTTCCTTCTTCGTCTCTCTTTGGATATCTGTTGTTTCCTTTCATTTTTCATCTCTTTTCGACTAATGCTTTATTCGCTTTTGGTTGGGCCTCGCATTTCTCTATCCTCTCCATCACATGCGGATCTGATCGATCACATTCATCTTCTGGTTATAATGTTTTGCATACGCCTTTTTTTGACAGTAGACTGGAAATTTTGATTTGGAATCTAGTATTTCGATCTTGATTTTGCGTTTATTTTATTATATTTTGGAGATTCCAGTGGTACCTCATGTTTCTTTCTTCATTCAGCAAAAATATTAGAACTGCATGTTCTCGTCTGGTTGTATATGATGTGTGTATGCTTTGGTTAAAAAGATTGAGCCAGATTTTGGTATGAGCTCCAGGAGATCTAGGATCTAGGATTAAAATTTTAAGATTTTTCTTTCGTTCTGTGCTTATGAGAAAGAAAAGACTGCATTAAAATGTCTTGGAGTTGGATCTATTTGGAATTGAACGAACACACATACGACAACCATCTATTAGCGCTTGTTTCTTTGTTTTGTTTTCTTCTCTTTTTACGTTAATATTTCTTGAATGTATGCAAATGCATTTGGAACAGGAGCTACTTGATGCCCATGGGATCTGTCGTAGAGGCTGCAAACACGGTACTGCTTTTTCTCAGACTCAATTTCACTTCAGATTTTGTGACCTTAATCTACAATTTAAATTTTAGTTAATATTCATATAATGGTAATAAGAAATATTCTCAAATCTGGTTCATCAAAGGAGCTAAGGGTTGACTGGTGTTAACAGTGGATTATTATCTATCTCTTGGGTAAACATGTATGTATCAAGCAATAAAAAATAAAAAGTGAATAATTATATACATGGAAGGTAATAATATTAAAACAATAATAAAAACATAAGACACCATATTAAATTTCAAACTTCATCATTATGAAGTAATAAAAAACTAAGAACAAAGTCAAGATGCTCAAATAAGGTCATTTAAATCCTTTTGTTGCTGAATTAACTTTTTCTTTTTTAGATAAGTTCTACAAGCTATTTGATAACATGCTTTCAAAAAGTAACTGACCATGGCCTTTCTTGGCTCAGAATGGTATTTTAAGGTTAAATAACTGAGGAACTGGTAACTTAGGCATCCTTGCACAGCTTTAAATGTCATAAGGTGAAATAGCTCATGTCAGAGGAAAATTCTATTTACTGCACTGAAAGCAATTAAACACAGAAACGAGGTTCAAGTGATCAGAAATCAGTCTTATCTCAGGGAGGAGTTATAAAAGACTTTAGATCCATGTTATGAATATCACAACTTACTAATGAAAAGGAGTGTACTTTCCTTTCTGTTTTATGATGAAGTCAACTTCATTGAAATCCTTACTAGATATAAGTTCCACAATAAGTTGATTGCTTATTGTCCAAGACAGAATTTGGCTTGTTTTCAAGTCTAAAATTTTTAGCTTTTTCAAGTTTGAATTTGGTTTGTTTCAAGTTTGAAATATTAGTATTTTGTCAGATATATTCTAATCGGCAAGACAGATGAGTGTGGTGCATATGGCATGTTGAACTTAAAATATGCCACCTTTCTGGAGGTGGCTTTTTGTGCTTTCCCATTCTCTTTTATAATTGGTGTTTGCCTTATGTTATGTCATAAAAATAACTGGTATAACTTGCAGGGGGCAAATGGAAGTTTAAGTGAGAAGAAACCTGTGGTAGTTTTTGTTTTGGGTAAGCCAGCTTTATTTTTTACATTTCCAGATTATATTTTTTGAGGAAGTATTTCTGGGTGATATTTTCACCAAAGATATGTTAAAAAACATAGCATGTGACTGCTGTTCGTTGATGCAACTACAATTGAAGGAAATGAATGAATTTAGTGCTTTTGTATTTGATTTTGGTGTTTTTTACATTAACTCCCCTGACTAATGAGGGTTTTCCTCCATCTCTTCTTCTTTACAGGCACTTATTAAGTAGAGATTTTATTTTTGTTGATTGGGCAGGTGGTCCAGGCAGTGGAAAGGGTACCCAGTGTGCTAATATTGTAGAACATTTTGGTTACACACATTTGAGCGCTGGAGATCTTCTCCGAGCTGAAATTAAATCTGGTTCTGAAAATGGGTATGGCATAGTGCTCATTTATCAAAATAATTAAGAAATTCCTCTTTTCAAATGCTTTTTTTTATAGAAAATTCTTTACACCTAATGAGGATTATACCTCTTTTCAATTGCTTGTCAACAGCCATCAACCAGTTGGGCTTGACAAGTGTTTCAATCAACTGAATCTCACTCCTAGTTTCACTTTACCAAAGTCGCATATGTGGAGTAGTTAACAGCAAACTGATTTGTCTTGTCTTGCTGGGTAACTTGTGTAGTCATCAGGTTACATATTTATGCTCGAAACTGGAACTGACAAGTTATTATAAAAAAGAATACCTCTTTTTGCAGAGTGATGTCTAAACTTTCTATATGCTAATAATTCCGACAAAATTTTGTTCCTTTTCTCTTCCTCCAAGAACATTTATAACAGTAAATGGGAGAAAGTCTACCATCTTGGCAATTAACGTGGCAGATGGTATTTTATTTTATTCTTTCTTGAAATAAGACATAGCAGATGATATGAGAAAACAGAAGACTGACTTCGGCTTAAAATTGATATAGGGCCATAAATTTCAGTTTACTAATAACATGTGTAGATCAGGAAGAGGGTGAAAAAAAACAACGTAGAAATTAAATAAGGAAAAAATCCATAGATTTTTAGATCTTAATAATAATTCTGATTTATTAATAGTCCTGAATTCATAAAACTCATATTGAAAGAACTAAAATATAAGGCACTGTTTGGTTCATTTCCGTTGCTATTCTTTTATCAGAACAGAATTATTAGAATGTCTTGAGGAGAAATGTGGAATCAGATAATTATTTTAATTTTTGGATCAGTTTCAAATATTTCCTTGAATTTTAAGTGATGGATTTTGGACTTCAACTTGGCACATAAGCTAAAACCATAAAAGTTCAGTGGAAATTAAGCCTAAAATTAAGTCTTCTTGTTTCCCCTACCATAAACTAACCTATATCAAGACTTTACTGGTTTTTAATCTTCCACGCTAATATGAAAGCAATGTGTAGAATATGGGGCAAAAAGGATAGTAGTTGCTATGAGGCATAAAGGATACTAGTTGCTATATGACAAATTCTTTTTGTATTTGGAAATGTTTGACTTTGTAAGAAGTGCAGAGTATTTATTGTTATGTCTGAATGGATATGGTTAGATATAATCAATAGTTGTCAGGGCCATGAGTCAATGTGAATATTAAGGATGCATGTAGTGTTGAATCTGACAAGTTAATGTTCTATGTTTATTGCATGTGGAAAGGTCATAATTTTTTCAGTGTAGTATTTCTGATAATTTTTATGACGAGATCAGAACCATGATGGTTACATAAAATTTTCTGATGTGATCTACAGAACCATGATCCAGAACATGATAAAGGAGGGAAAGATTGTTCCTTCTGAGGTAACAATTAAGCTCCTTCAAAAAGCAATGCATGAAAGTGGTAATGATAAATTCCTTATTGATGGCTTTCCTCGCAATGAGGAAAATCGGGCAGCATTTGAAACTGTTGTAAGTTCTTTACAATTTCATTTTGGTATTCATTTCATAGCTTAATTTGAATTCTAATAGTACATTTTCCTCTTTAATTGATGTTACTATGAAGATAATAAGAGTTGCTTTGCTTTCTGTTAACTGATGAAAAACTGTGGTTCTGCAGACTAAGATGGAGCCAGAGTTTGTCCTCTTTTTTGATTGTTCTGAAGAAGAGATGGAGAGGCGTCTTTTGAGCAGGAACCAGGTTAGCAGCACAATGAATTAGTAAACACCCCCCACCCCAGTCATACTGGCTTGTTCCTTAATTTATATGTTCTAAGAGCTTATTTCCTTACCTGGATATTGAAGGGAAGAGAAGATGATAACATCGAAACCATCAGGAAGCGGTTTAAGGTGTTTTTAGAGTCCAGTCTTCCTGTTATTCAGTACTATGAATCTAAGGGGAAAGTTCGGAAGGTGACAATTTGGTTTCAGTTTAATTAGATAACTGATAAACTGATTCAGTTTATCTGTTTTAATCCCAGTTTATTCGTGTTCTTTAGATCGATGCGGCAAAGCCCATTGCTGTGGTCTTTGAAGCTGTCGAGGCTGTTTTTACCCCAGCAGATGAGCAGAAGGTAAAATGCCATAGTTGTGCTGTTCCGTAGGTCTCTTATAGTATGGAAAAAGGAAACTAAAGAAGAGAATTGATCAATAGCGTTGTGATTCTATTGCTTGAAAACTAAAGTGTTGTGCCTGTGCCTTTGTGAGTTTTAGTGTGGAGATTAATGGTTTATGCATGGTAAATCAAGGTTTAGTTAGTGTCTACTTTGCAAAGCTTATATAAGAAATTTGTCCTTTCTTCAAAGTGATTTTTGAAGTATTAAATAACTTTCTAATTTCCAGACAGTTCCTAATTCCCAGACATAATTCCTAAGTAAATAAGTTACTACTACGCCTATGCACCATCAATCCTCCGTAGTTTGAAAAAACTTAGATCCAGTTTGTTGAGATCATAGAATTTAGCATGCATGACGGGTTGAACTTCTTGACGTTAGCTGTTATGATTCAAGTACAATCAGTTTGAGGACATTCCTTCCATTTCACTAGAAAACTGTTGTTAAGTACTACTCTTTATAGTTAGCTTGTTCTTGCACACTACCACCTGGGGCCACCCCCGTATTATAATAGGGAGCCCCAGTCGTAGGGAAGATGACACCGACACAATATAATCAGGTGCCCCCACCATACCAACAAGTACCACCACAGGGCCCCCCAGTTTATCCTCAGCCTGGCCCAGTTCCTCTTCTGCAGGACCCAGTTCCTTCCTTGATTGACCCGAGCTATGTAAAGAGGTACAGGAGACTGAATCCTTCCACTTTTGCAAGGGAATCCTCTTTTGAAGATGTCCAGTACTGGTTGGCGGAGACGGAGAAGGCTTTTAAGACT